AATATTTTGTCACTTTTATATTGGTTTCCATAGCCAGCAGCTAACGGCATAGCAATAGGCCTACGTTAGGGGAGAACAAAGGCTTGCATGTTCTGCGCCAGCGATTCTTAGTTCTTCTGAACAAAGGCTGCTGTCTTTTATTCAGTCATTGAATTTGTGAAATAAATCATCATTCGGTGTGCTTAAATTATGCTTTATTTGAGAAAAATATTTTTAACTAAAAACATATATTTTAAAAAATAGAAATATATATATGTTGCACACCAAGGAATAGACATAAAAAAATCAATATGATGACTGTTCTGAAAAGAGTGCAGTTCAGCCCAAAGCAGGCTTTGGGCTGAAACGAGACTAAGATCGAGCATAATTTTTAATTGTATTAATCATTCATGTTTAGGCGTGATAACGGTGTACGCTATATTTAAATAGATTGTCGAACTGCACTACCGACAATTTCTGGTTTAAAAAATGACCGATGGCAAAATGAGTTTTACTTTGGCTGTTGAAAGATGCGAATTGTATCGATAAAGAATCAAGACTTGAAATAAAGTGAAGACAAAGAGAGCATTGAATGGAAATAAATTAAACTAGTCATTGAGTCAAATTCTTTTGAATTTCTGTACAGAAAGGTCATGACAAAGAATGTTGTGGATTTAGATTTTTTTTAAATCTTGAAAACTATGATGAGTGATGACGAATCAATAACTACATTTATCAAGAATCAAATTATAATATTACCGGACATAATTGTTCTAAATAACTGTTTCCGCGATCTCGATGGAAATGACTTAGCATTAAGGTAGAAAAGTCAGTTTCCTCTCATCTATAATGATGTACTTCATGAACAGGAATCGGCTCGTTGATAGTGTAGGGGTCATTTCGCTCCAAAATCGAAATCATCCTTTTCACTTCCAAAAACATGAAGAAATAAACAAAATTGAAGCTGGAGACCGTGATGAGAAAATACCTCACTATCTTATACGTAACTAAAAGTTATTTGACAAAGCAACAAGCTTCTCATGCAAGACTTTTAAACTGAACTATATATATTATTTAGTACTCATTTCCTCTTCCACTTGAATGTCATCAACTTATATTTCTGCAAATGGTTACGAGTTTGCCTCTTATAAGCGCTTGACGTCCTGAACGTTGTCTAATGTGTTACTGGCTGGAGGTAATGCATGGAGTATAACACGTGACTTGGTTCATTATGCAATTTGACTAGAGGTCATTCATAGTATTCATTGAACACTTGACGGGGCCGAATGTGTAATTTGATAACATATGGAGCAAGAGAACGTGGTGCAATGATTGGAGCAAGAGAACGTGGTGCAATGATTGGAGCAAGAGAACGTGGTGCAATGATTGGAGCAAGAGAACGTGGTGCAATGATTGGAGCAAGAGAGCGTGGTGCAATGATTGGAGCAAGAGAGCGTGGTGCAGTGATTGGAGCAAGAGAGCGTGGTGCAATGATTGGTTGGAGCAAGAGAGCGTGGTGCAGTGAATGGAGCAAGAGAGCGTGGAGCAGTGAATGGAGCAAGAGAGCGTGGAGCAATGGTTGGAGCAAGAGGGCGTGGTTTTCTATAGTTACAAAGATTTCATCGTCCACTATAATTTACTCTTACACATGCCAAAGGGTAAAATATTGCAGATTTATGCGTGCTTTTTACGTTGGTTCAGGCCACGTAAGTATGATGGGGGCAACCATTAACAAAACTTCATCATGGAATAAAACCTTATCTGGAGCTATAAACTATGTATCTGCAAACATTGAACTAGGAAATATTTAGTTCGCATTTCGAAATTGCAGAAAAGCCCCTTTGATGTGAGGATTAGTTGAACTAGATCAATGATAAAAATGTTTTAATTTTACCAGTAAGTTAAATGTAGCAAAAATGCGTCATTATTTCTCTAGAAATAAATCAATAAATCCTCTTACTTTGATGTAAGATGACAAATCTTTCCTCGTCTAATCACGTCTACGCTGCGTGTCTCTATGATGTGCATGGTTTACTATAACTATTAATCGTGTTCTGACCGCATGACAGAGGCGGCGATCCATCGTGGCCTGGGACTGCTACGTCCCAAACAAAAACTAAGGAATACTAAGGAATACATCTTTGCCATTAACTGTTTTTGTGACATCCCAGTAACATACGCACCTCGGCCAGGGTCGCTTTCTATTTTGATTTATTCCCTATATACGTAACGCATGGAAAAAACATAATGACGCACACTGGGTGAGAGTTTGGCTTAGCGCATTTTCTCATTTATGTAAAAAATGTTATATTGTGCTCGTCATGTCCGTCCGTCCGTCTGTCCGTGACTTCACGTTTTCGTCGACGAGAAAATGCTCTCTCTGTCACTCACTGCAGTGAGTACTGAGTTATATTTTTTATTTTATTGTTGGCATTAAAGCCACATGACTCGTGGCAAGTCTCTGACGTACAAAGACGCGCCACAGGACATGCGTAAGTCTCGGTGACCGGATACGCGGGGGACTTTGGATACGGTTGCCCGCCATCCTGTCACGGGCAGCAAGTCTTGCTGCAGACCGTCCACTTAGTGTGCGTTCTGATCCTGGTCTGTAGGTTGGTCTTGGGCTTTCTTCATAAAAATTTATTTTACCATTAACATTAATTGTGGCATAGTCAAACTTTTTTAATTTGCGCATATATTTTAATAAATTTTCGTAAGGAGGAATCACTCAGTGGGCATAAGGCCAGAGTTTATAACTTTTTTTTCAATTCATCACATCTTTCCAAACACAATCAATTGAAGTGTTTCATGTTCATAATGTATACAACAAACGAATCCACTTCTAATAATCCTAGAGTGTCCTAAATTTTACCTAATTTTCAGTAAAATGCATAAATATTATTTCAATATAATTTTTAATCTTTCAATAAAAATTTTATAGCTTGTCTGGTAGTTATCATAATCTCTAAAGTAGCTACTTCTTGTTTCTTTCTTGCGTCAAATTACATTTACTCTGAAACAAAGGCTTTTAATGTTGTTGTCTAAATGCTATTGGTTTATACTGTAGATTGCACTGCAAAGGTAGTGAAGATGAGGCTGATGTGATGGTATCTAACTAATAGTAATGTCTTGGGTGTGACGTACTTGAACGAATTTTAGCAAAGATCTTTCTTTATCGTTCGAAATTTTTTGTGAGATAATTCTTCAGAGTTCGAAAATTCACGATTGATTTCTGCATAGATGGTTGCAGACTCTAATCAATGGTAAATCATAATATATATTGATATTTATTATTTCTTTATTTTAAACGAATTTATTTGTACCTAAGTTTTCTTACTTCTATGTTCATTCACTTTGTTTTGTGCGAATTTCGTCCAAAGATTTATCACTAATTAAAGCGAAGATGCTCAACAATTAGACTGTTTTCCATAAAACTTATATTACAAAAAGTTTGATATTTTACTGATCTTGTATGTCAAGATATCACTCATCCACCATCATTTATTTCTGTTTTTGCAATTTTTTGAAGTAAATTGGTTTATTGTAGCATTATTATTTTGACCTACATTTTTTATTGGAGAAAATTCTCCCTAAATGTTCATAAAAGTTCTCCTTTTCGTACAATATTGTAGGAATAAAATATTAAGTATAAATTATTGAGCTCCCTGAAGTAATACATTTTGGCCAGAGGCTCTTGAATTCTGTTGTACATCAGGCTGATGTAATATTAATAGGCCTATGTTAGTTCGTTATGGGTCTACGGACTCATCCATCACCAGTGCACGTGTCATGTATACGTCAATCTTACACTGAACTCAATGACAAAAAAGGGACCAATAGAAATGGTTTATTTATTTATAATAACTTGCAATAAAAAGGACAGCTATGCTATTTGTTGTCAGCCAGTCCAATTATTCTCAAATATTGAGGCGTGAATCAAATATTCATAAATAATATACATTATGTATGCCTAAAAGTGATCACTAAAGATTTAAATTGACATTGTTTTGACAACTTTCATTATTTCAATATTTAACTTTTTTAAACTAAGCGCAATAATGTGAAGCGGTGAATCATTGCTCAGCAAGCCCGTATATAAGTTTTGAATTATAATATATTGTTGTGCTCGTAATAATAAATTTAATTCTTTAATATTGATTGTTGTATAATGAATAAATGAATAATTTACGTGCATTGCACACTTAGAAAAAGATTTCATTCTAAAAAAAATTAAATATTGCATTGAAAAAATTATAAACCTTATAATATTTCACTAGCAGAGGAGGCAAGGGTTTGTTGGGTAGACGTTCCCCGAGAGCCATAATACCACATTAAATAACCCATGCAAGAATATAGAAAAGTTATGCAATTTACGTTTATAAATTTGGCTAGTATATTTTATTAGTGACGTCACTGAAGAATAGGCCATGCTTGGACTGTCGCTGATTTCTATAATTTTCGTGGCTTGTTCAAAGAAAATCTACAATCCTTTAGGACTTTTGGCAGGTCTATGAGGACGTATTTTTTAATGCATATCAAGCATACTTATGTAGTGGATTTTTGTGCTTCAGAATCTCATGTTAAGGATGCGTGGATTTTCCGATGATCATGAAAATTATAAATCGATAATTAGTTTAATCGATATACTTCGAATAATATTATATTAATTAATAAACTGGAGGCTCCATCAAAACAAGATTCATGATGAGGGAAAATTCATCACAAATTTACATACCCAGACTCATTGTACATGGTTGGAAAATGAGGAGACAAATGAACCTCTTACTGGATAAAGTTAACGATATACGAAAATGAGTTAATTTGGAAATATCAATCTATTGAAAATAATCCAATAGCCTCAACATTAAACAGTTGAACTTCCTTTTATTTTCCCTGCAATGACCATTGTTATTTCACATTGTTATCCTCATGCAGTATGTTTACTTATTAATTAGTTTATTCGATTATTCATTAGTTATTTGCTGCAATATATAACACTTTTCGCACAGTATATTGACTGTGAGCAATTACGTTAGGACTAACTCTCTCTCTCTCTGCGCACCTACGGCTACCAGATGGAGATACGCAGCCATAATTAATTAAAATTATTGATTAATGACTATAAATATTTTACTAGCTTCAAAATGCTGCTTCTCAAAGTATACGGCATACTTTTGATGACGTTTGGGGTCTTAACACGCCCATATTTTAAAAATAATTCAAACATTTCTTCAACGGCTTCTCATGGTTCAGTTGAAACAACCTTCCAACCAAGGCCACTTCCTCATCCTGCAGGTAACGAAGCAGTTCTTCAAGGTAACTATAATAAATTACAGCTTGTATTGAATTATTGAATGCAAAATCAGTTCCTATTGAATTTTATTTCGTTGATTATAATGGTTCAGTAGGTAGTGATACTTGTCCCAGTTCCACTTAAATTATTGATTTTTCATAAAATAAAGTACATCGATTTTTTAAATTTTATTCTACATTGAATATATTCTTCAGCAATTAGCTTATGCTCGAATACATCATCAGTGCTAAAAAAATTCTCGGACCTTCTTAGACAATGTGAGTGTAAATTTATCTTGCTTCTATGCATCCAGAAATGATTAACAATGAACATTTATTGAAACACACTGAACGATACAAATCGCGATGAACACTCTTGACCAGCTGCAAGGAACCAATAAATGAACTACTGGAAGACAATCTTGAAAACAAACGAAATAAGCATTAGGAGAAAAATGTCAAGAATTTTTTTAACAAAAAAATTTTTGATAATAAATGAAGACTCAAAGTAAACTACCGCAGCCCCTAAAATAATTTAGATAGTCTCCTACATTAAGTGTAAATCTCATGTCGTCACAAACTCATTCAGTTCCATTCAATACTTTAATAAAAAATAACTAACTTTATATTTGTTATATACAAAATTATTCATCATCGTTTCGTCACAGGCTTATAGAAAATGTAAGAAATTTATTCTAAATTACATTTCAGAATAAAATGACTCTGTATATCGTAAAATTCGCATATTTCTGTATAATAATAGGAACATTATTCCTCAGGAAGTGACTCGGTGATTCAGCGAGAGCGTGTTATTGAACAACGCATGTTCTTTTTGTACTTCCAGGAGTAACTGGTGACGGGAGACAACCCACAACGACAGTAATTGAACAAAATCATAGTCATGCGAGTGCAACAGCCAGTTCTCCGAGCGAAGAATCGAGAACAACGAGTACAATAACCAGTTCTCCGAGCGAAGAATCGAGAATAACGAGTGCAACAGCCAGTTCTCCGAGCGAAGAATCGAGAACGAGTACAATAGCCAGTTCTCCGAGCGAAGAATCGAGAACAACGAGTACAACAGCCAGTTCTTCGAGCGAAAAATCGAGAGCAACGAGAACAACAGCTAGCTCTTCGAGCGGAGAATCAAGAACAACGAGCTCAACAGCTAGTTCTTCGAGTGAAGAATCTAGAATATTGAATGCAAAAGCTAGTTTTTCGAGCAAAGAATCGAGAGCTTCAAATATAACCCTCAATTCCACGAGCGATAAAATAAGTAGCTTGAATATAACAATCTCTCCTCTGAAGTATGAGGTACGGCCTCGGAACTCAATAGCCCCTTCAGTGACAGATGGCTCCATGCCTTCCAATAAAACGGTTACTTCTTCAAGCTCTGCTGGTAATCAATCAAGCTCAATTTCTTTGTATTCGAATGGTGTCTTCGGTGTAATCCAAAGTACATCGAGAAATCCAGCTGCGTTGTTGAGAGGAATTATAAATTCATCGAGAAATATAACTAAAATGCCATATGTTAACCAGATTCCCGCAAACAGCTCATTTAATCCGCCAATCCAAAGTTTCCGCTATCCTGATTCTCATACGTCATTCAAAAATGAAGAAGGCTCGGAAAGCGTACGAGCTCATGCCATCTTGCACAACCGAGATGGAAATAATACAAGGAGTTCTCCCTATAGGACGGTTCCTTGGTCAATTAGGCCGGTATATTCTTTTCCTAAGGGAGTGGATAATGTTATGGATAATCGACCTGACAATTCAGCCGGATTCAGAAATTCATATATTTCTAGGGTTCCATCAAGTGAGGATAAGGGCCAGCCTCACAGATCACCGCCAAGCAATCTTGAGACCAGCGGAAACCCGTCTAGTGTACCAACATCCTTTGAAGACAAAACAATGACTTCACCCAACGACGTTGAACCAAAATATCATCATAGAAATCATCCTAATATTCCTACCGTTTTTAACACTATGGAAGCCATTACTGAGCCTGTGACTACGTTATTTTATCCTATTGCAGGCACTGTCGTCAGTGACGCTATGAATATGGTTACCCCGGATGATGTAGCATTGCCAATAATAACCTTGCCCTCATTTGACTTAATGGGCATACATGACGTGCTACCCGATCTCGATAATGATCCACCTGATTATGTAGATCATCAAGCAAACAGAAATTTTTCCTACTCATTGCGAGATTTGAACGAAACGAACATCGGAGATACACCAGAAGTAACTGACGGCAAGCCTACGAGCTCAACGGAAGCTACGATTTTCACTTCAAAACCTCAGCGGAACGCGACACGAATCGATAATATGTTTTTAACTCCCATAGGTCCCATGACCAAAGAAAAAACAAATATGATGCTCTATCTCTTGCTTATTGTTTGTGGAATTTTAATAGTAGGCTTGATTGTAGTTTTAGTTTCGTGGTGCAGAGCAAGAATAGAGGTGCGTAGACTGGACATGGAGATGCGGAGAGCGTGTTTACAAGGTCTCGATCACAGATACGTGGCAAGAGACTAGGGCTAGAATAAGCTGTTATTTGTTTTGCTATCATTATATAGTTGTTAATTTTATGTCAATAATGTGGATCAATGACCCTGTTATTAATGATATGAGGTGTCTCAGAAGTGAAGGAATATATTTTTTTAATTTCAGTTATATATTTCTAAGAATATCGCGAAATTCATATTAAATACTGTAATGCCCCGTATGAGGTTCAAATATAATGTTTTGCATAAAAAATTAAAAATTATAAGAACTCTATAATTGTAATTTTTCTCTATTGCGGATTATCCATCAATACGGCTAATTCGATTTCTTTCTCTATTTTCCTGAAAAAAATGAATACGGAAAAACATAAAACGCAGTACATTAGCGATGGCTTCCTTTAGTATGGAATAAGTTAGGATCAATGTAGGAGTCCGGTTTAATCGAATACAGTTGTGAAGATGTATATAAATTTGCATTATGGATACTTCTACCTTTTGAGATGTAAATTTCCTCATTTTTCTGATTTGTTATTTGCTTACTGCTAATCGCTTGATTGTTATTTGTAACATTTGTAAATTGTTTCCAAGTACTATTAACCAATCCGTCGATCAGTTCTAGCACCATCCAGTTACATACGGAGGTATAAAATAGAAAAGAATAGAAGTGTCGGCGCTGAAGAAATAGGCCCATGGCCTGTTGCCGATTCTTGAACTTTTCGTGACTTGATTCACAAGGGATCCGGCCTTTGGAACCCGCTCTTTCCATATAGACTGAACATATGCTCCTGCATAGCTTCGTCTGGACTTATTGCCTGGTCCGTAATTTGCTAGGCATTTTAAGACTGAACATATGCTTCTCCGTATAAATCTAAAGGAATTAAATGCATCTCGAGACCTTGTTCTGAAACGTTCTCTCGACCGGCCTGAGGGCAGATATAGGAGCTGCTGTGACCGATAAAATATAATTTTTCAATTGCTCGTTGCTCTGTTTTCAAGAATACCTCTCTTCAAGAATCAGGATTTAAAATTGCCGTAATTTCGTGGAAACTGGATTTGTGCAGCTATCCACAAAAAAAATTTTTCAGTGGAAACAGTGTTCAGCAAGCATTCCTTGAGCTCGGCTGTTCTTTCGACAGCCGAGGTCACGCGATTCTCTCTCTAGGAGCTCAATCAGGAGTTCGAATGTCTCTTCCCTAGAACTTTGACTCAAGATTTGACAGTCTAGACTGTTCGTTGCTAAACACTTTTTTTTTTGTTCTATTTTTAGCGCATTTTCTCATTTATGGAAAAAATGCACTATTGTGCTCGCCATGTCCGTCTGCCCGTCCGTCTGTCCGTCCGTCTGTCCGTCCGTGACCACGTTTTCGTCGAAGAGAAAATGCGCTCTCTGTCACTCACTGCAGCGAGTACTGAGTTATATTTTGTTCTATTTTTCGCAAGAAGCCGTGAAAGAACCTATTGAATAACCAAGCATTATTGCAGTTTCTGTAACTCGAGCGCCTGTCACGCATGCAAGCGCCTCTAATTTGCAGTCTGATTGGTTTGAGAGATTCATCATGTGAACAAGTAAATTTATGAATATTTTTAAAAACTGTACGAAATAAACTCGAAATCTGCTGGGCGTTTGTTCTGTCCAACCTTTGAGCAACTCAAAGAATTTGGTTCCGCGACAATGTCAATAGAATAAATCTCAGGACACCTCTTGAAGTAAATAAATGTGTAAATTATAAATCTTCATTATTTCAACAGCATCTTCTTTTTATTAGTACCATATGAATGACTTTTTAGCTTTTTATACATGAACTTTTTGTCGCATAATTTTCCGAAATTTAGGGTTCAAATTATTTATTTTTTCCCTCATTATGCCTAAATTATAAACATTCAAACGCGTGATAAGTATCAACAATTTTTAGTCTTATAAATATCAACAATTTCCGGAAGCGGGCCTGTTCTAAGCAGCGCATCCAGAATAAAAGTTAGCGCAAGGCAAGTTAAGAACATAGATCAAATTAATTATCAAGGCCTCTTAACATAAAATTGTTCTTGTGTCTTCGTACATTTGAAACGGCATAACTTTCAAATTCGACTCCAATTTGTGCAAGTTAAGAAATTAATTAAATTTTAATTCGACCTATCGTATACATGTGACTAGTTGTTCTACTGTGCAGTGCAAGTAAATTAACTTTCAAATTAACTTGCACGTTATTTATCACGTGATTGAAAATTTTACTCTATGTGTTTGTCAATTTATTGAAAAAAACACGTAGCTAACAAAAACTCATGGAACAACGTATTTATATTAATCGATAAATTCTTTTGAACATAAATACACAGACAATTTAATGAAAATAATTATTATAAAATTAATTTGAAATATTTAACTTTGTTTGTATTCAAAACGAGAAAACATTTTCTTTGTTGCTTCCCAAGAAGTTGCCAGGGATAAATTTCGTGAAAAACGGCAAATTTATAACGTAGACTTTCCCGAATTTAAATTTCAATATTTTTTTAGTTTGTCTGCCAGAGACTATAAAGATCAGATAACCGACAACAATGTGCAATTCTACCAAACGTTATGGCCGTAGAAAAAAAACAGCAACAGAGGTTTAATATTAGATTAAATAAGCGATTTTTACGACCTTAATCATCCGAGATACAAATCTCAAGATCGAAAGTTCTCTCATCACGAATCAATTGTTCTTCCTCCGATCCAAAAACTTTAGTGCGCCTTGAACGAAGATGTGCTGGTAATTTTTGTGTCACATTTTTTAATATGACATTACAGGCAGGAGAAATACTTATTACCAAACATTACTTTCATAGCGCCTAAAATATAGTAGTAATTCGAAAACTTTCCTAATGTTAAGTCGTAAGGATAACATGACCATTTAGACGAGTTAAATAGGCTATGTGCTTTATGTTCAAATATTTAGTAATTCAATCAGTCCTAAATTAGTAATTAGCGCACGAGAACTAAAAATTGAAACATAAATTAGGTTTTGACTTCATTTATCCTTCGCTAATTTTTTGACACAACTCAAACTTAACCCTCCTGTTGTCTTCGGGTCAAAATGACCTACAATTGCGACCCTATGCCCGGAGAGCATAAGGCTTATACCGAAATTTAAGACAACAGTAGGGTTAGTAAGGCAATCGTGGATAATTAGTGATCAGTGTTATCTCAAGTGCAGCTTGTCTTTTGAACTGATTAAGGGCAAGTAAATATGTTTCAGAAAATTTTGTGCAGCAGTGTCATTTCAATCTAATGCAATAGGCTTTGTATAGAAGTTATTTAGTTAGTTAGTTGTTATGTTTGTTTCTTGTCTATTAATTTTTATTGGTGAAGCAAGAGTTTAATTAACAAGTCTGCAGTCTAATAGGACGGCGTCAGCTTGCTAAGATATCGAAATTCTCTGAAATTTCCCTGCCCATAAAGAGTGTTACTGGGGCTATGACGAACTATTGATATGATGTGTGACTTAGACTCATTAGAATTAGTCTAATTCCTAACAAATACAATGATTGAAATCGAATATTTGTAACTTTGTAGAGAACGAATTGAGTTGTTCGCTTATTCTCCTATCAGGAGGGAGGCTTGTTTACACCAAAATATGCATGTAACGATTCCTGTATTCATCAGAGGTAACTGTTTATCTTTATAATAATTCATTTAATCTCTGAATTGCTACATATAACTGTCATTTTCGAAAATTTTTATATATAGTTTAATTTATTAGTTACACCAACTCACTCGTACATTCTACCAGACTAGAATTCATACTCTGTATTTAAATGAACGTTCTTTGATTCTATTATTCTTTGGCATCGACTACTGAACATATTTTCAATGAATATGCTATGGTATATTTCAGCGCGTATAATGCACTCGCCTCAGTGAAAGTGGCGCCCGCTGGATTCTGATGCAGGAAATTCCGCTCGCCTCCTGCGTGTGTACCGAGCTCTCCTGTTCAGTGATACTTGGTAGCGTAGTGAACCATTTTGTTTAGTTTATACAAGTAATCGGAATACATTTTTTATTTACTGATAATATTGCCGAAATACAATGAATACATTTGGGAGAATACTATTTATCAATGAAAAATGCTAACTGGATTGATGCTCTTGGTTTATTAAATGTAAGTTTCTCTCATAGTAGACAGACTGGCACTGATAGGAATAGTAGGTGATATGAATACAACAGATTTTACGGCCTAATGGAGAAATAATGGGAAAGCATCTTTAAATAACTGCATTTAATTCACTTAAACCAAATACCGTTCGAAATGTCAATAGATTTGTTTGATGCTAATAAACTCGCTATATATAAGATGAGACACCACTTAATAGGGCCGACCTCAAGCATAAGATTACGAACGGACGACATTGCCTCCAATAGGACCATTGTTTCGAGACTGGACTAACATGATTCAGTGATCGTTCAAAAGCGATCAAATGTAAACGGTGTGCATATGGAACAAAATAGTTCCAGAAATTCGTTACGCTATAAATGTTTGAGACTTTCTGTTAACACAGCTTGGCGGGTTCTCCATCTTAACCCTCTTAGGAGTGCGGACTCGGTAACTCTCCGATGCTGGGACTTCACAGTTGAAACGGTCTGGCGAGGTCAATCGTCCAAATGGCGTAATAATATTCTTAATATTTGAATGAGTTTACACTAATAACATTTCGTGGTCCGGTTACCCTAATAACCCTGCATGGAAAGGTTATCCATAAATTGCCTGGAGAGGTCATCTCTTGAGACTGTAATCGTCGGTGAAAGTCTTGCACAGGATGGCCTGATGGTGCAGCACAAACGCTATAATGGACCAGTGGGAGGAAGGCTGCAGGAATGTTTTGGTTGAGGAATGGCTTCGTGGGCGAAGGGCTTGGTGGAGGAATGGCTTGGTTGAGGAATGGCTTGGTGGGCGAATGGTTTTTTGAGGGAAGGCCTTGGTGGAAGACTGGCTTAGTGGGGAATGAATTCTATTGAAAATGTGGCTAAGGACATGTTCGATAAATGCATTGATCAAAGGCATGAAAAAGGAGTAATACACAGATACTAGTTTTGTTAATGTTGGTGGAGACTTTTCCGTCGAAGAGGAACTGGTTTAACAGTAAATGTTGCACCATTTTAAAATGTTTTATGAATATCTATTCAATAAATAATCTTATGAACCTAATAGTATCTCGTTGAAAAATGACGAGGTATTGCTACTGCCTGTTGGAGGTAGCTTGGTAAAAATGGAGTATCCGAACGCACAGGGGTTAGCAAAAATAAGGAAAACACCCAAAATATCCATAAAATATATTTGAGTATGGAAAAAATCCACTTATTACGACTACATTCGCAATTCTCGGAGGTATTGTTTCATAAAAAATTTGAATTGCTTTCAAAGGAATTTAATCCATTCTTCAGTTGAAACTCCGTCCAGCTTGTTTACAGACGATGACACGGGAAGCGACTTCTGACCTGCATCAGTAAAGTCGACCATAAATGGTCGATAATATTTAGTTCTGGTGATTGTGGTGGCCAAATGAGATACTCAACTTCATTCGAATATTCATCGTGCCATTTTTAACAATTCCAGCTGCATGGATCGGAGCATTTTCATCTTGACAGATGATGTTACACTGCGGTAACTGTGCTTGAAGCATTGGATGAACTTGGTCCTCCAAAATTCCTAAATA